TTCGGGGTCAACCTTCTTCCAGGGCCTGAGCGCCTGCTCCAAGTTAACCAGAACATTCTGGTGGCTCTCCTTGAGGTTCACTGGGTGCTTTGCTCTCAAGAGCTCATAGGCAGCAATCAGTGTCATGTTCCTCTTGACCATGAGGTACTGGATGACACAGGTAGGAGCAAGGGAGAAGCCATCAAGGCAGTGTACCAGGACGCGCTTCCGCTTCTCAGAGGAGGCATCTATGCATTCGTTGATGTCGCTGAAGCGGCGCTGCTGGTTGACCAGGCCCTCGGCTGCCATGGACAGGTCCCCGATGTCCACCTTGAGCCGGGACCAGCTGTGCCGGCCTCCACGGGAGCAGGAGCAGGGGATGAGGAGCAGGCTGCGCTCGGGCGGCACGTTGCTCATGTCGATGATGCCGTCGATGTGGCTGCGGCACAGCGTCAGCCCGCTGTAAGCCGCGTTCAGGTTGCCCACATAGATGTAGTCCGTCACTTTGGAGATGATGGGCTCACAGTAATGGTTGTAGCTTGCATCCTCCCCTCTGGGTTCCACCTCCGCTTTCCCAGGGTGATCACGTGACTTCTTGGCGTCAGAGCTGATGGAGTGGCCAGAGTCTGACTCAGAGCTGCTGTTCCAGGATGGCAGGAAGTGCGACAAGCGGCTGGAGGCCTTGGCTTTCTTAGGGGAGCCTACAGAGCTCAAAGGGTCAGAGCTGAGGCCTGTAGGAGACCCAAAGGCACACAGGTGCAAGGCCCTTTCCAGGGATCCAGTACTTCTGGCTCCTCCCGTGTTGAGGGCCCCTTCCATCTGCAGACAAACACACACACATCATACAGTTAGAGCAGCAGCTACATATGTTATGTTTCCTGGTCTGCTGATACCTCTGCAGGTGATTCCCCCACAATGAGAACATCAAAATGGAGGACAGGTGTGGAGACTTGACGCTGTGCATAGGTCATTTATGATCAGCTTTTCAATAACAGCCTTTAAATAAACATGCAATGACATATATTGATAATAGCTTGTAAGTGAACGGCATTAAGCCCCAAATACGGCCGGCAGGCCCAGTACCTCTGAGTTTGTAAGCATTTTATGTTTTAACCTGTAATTGAAGATCCTTTACAGTTCACCACAGAAAGTTTGATTGGTGGAGTGGAGAACATTTACTGTAACACCTTCCTCATTAATTTTCTTTAGAGAGCTCATGTAAAGAATCTTAATAAGAGTAGCTGGAACAGCATTCATACCATGTAAAATCAAACATTCAAAAAACATCAACACCAAAGACATTTGCATTCAAGGGAGTAGACTTGGTTTCAACATTGATAGGGTCAAAATCAGCTCCGAACCCCCCGCCCCCTCAAACATACACAGGGCAAAGGGTTTTCTCGTTTTTATTTTGAATTGCACTGGGCTTTCTCGGTCACCATAATGTGCTAACAGTGAGTATACATGCTAACACAGCGTCTGCTGTGCTCACAGAGCATCTATGTGCTAACAGGGCGTCTACATGCTAACAGTCTATGTGCTAATAGAGCATCTCTGTGCTAACAAAACGTCTACATGCTAACAGAGCATCTGTGTCCTAACAGTGAGTCTACATGCTCAAAGAGCGTCTACACGATGACAGTCTACGTGCTAACAGAGTGTCTGTGTGCGAACAGTGAGATAACATGCTGACACAGTGTGTCTGCTAACGGAGAGTCTATGTGCTCACACGGCATCTATGTGCTAACAGTGAGTTTACATGTGAACAGAGCACTTATGTGAGTGTTTATGAGATAACTCACTGTTAGCACATAGACTGTTAGCATATTATCTCTAACTGAGAACATGCAGTGTTTGTGACCCCCTATGTCCCTCACATACATTAGTGTAGAGAGCAGCTAGAGTTCAGGCTCTGGAGCGTGAGCTTCTCTCCAGAACCTCCTCAACATCAGAGAGTTTAGGCTCCTCTTATGAACATAAGAACATAAGAGATTTACAAATGAGAGGAGGCCATTCGGCCCATCAAGCTCGTTTGGGGAGAACTTAACTAATAGCTCAGAGTTGTTAAAATCTTATCTAGCTCTGATTTAAAGGAACCCAGGGTTGTAGCTTGCACTACATTAGCAGGAAGACTATTATCGGTCTCTCTTCAGAACTACATTCAGCTTGCATGTCAGATACATCGCTTATGAAAAAAGTCACAAAGGAAAATGTGCAATGATTACCAGATGCCAGCAAGACAACACGAAAGGAACTCAAACGTACCAACCCCACTGAAATCACGTGCTTCCTGACTGAGGTCCAGCCTCTTTCTGAAGCTATACAGCAGCAGCATAAACACAACCGTACCGGTCCTGTTCCCAGCTGCATAGCTTAGTATCAGAGCAATTTCAGTAGGATTTCGCAAAACTCTTAGCAGTGACACATTCTGAACACTAGATGGAGCCATGACTGTTTTGAAGCTCTTTTCCACTGTCTCCTATAAAGCGGTTGTTAGTCAAAACCAACAAGTCACACTGCCATGGAGAAAATAGTGATTAAGTTATATAAAAAGGTCCTCTATACTAAATATGGCCAGAGTTAATATTTTAATTAGAGATCTATGGTATATGACCAGTATTTAAGCATATCATTGGTAATCATTATTAGGAGTACATTAAAATACCTTTCATTTCATTATTTTTGGCAAACAATTTCTTGTCCAGTATCTTGGGTGTTAAGTCAGACTTCCAGCTTTCTGTGAATTCCATTTTTATTTCCCCTGACAGAACAGCAAAGTTAAATTCTGGACTGTTTTCTTTATGTTTATTAGGGTAAATTTATTATTAAGGTTTTAGCTTAGAGTTGAATGCATGATGTTGCACTACTCCAGCATCTACCATTGGCTGCATACTGTACTTACAGAACTAAAGATGGAGTCCAGTGGAATAAACCCAGAAGAACAGCACTTTCCTCCAAGCACATCGATCTCAGAGGAGCGACACTCAGTGAATCCTGCAGCATGTATGAAAGAAGAGGCTGGTGGCTAGCAGCTCACACAGCAGAGGAAACTTGGGCGAAATGGGGGAAAATGTGGAAAAACCATTTAAATACCCAGACTTTTCCAATAAAGATTATCCTAGCAACCAAGATTCTGGAGGAGATATCCACTTGACAAAAGAGCTTATTTTTGTGTATTCAAAAACATTTTTTCAACCCAATTGGTGGTGTTTTGGTAAATACATAATTTTTATATTTTGAAAACCTTTAACTGAGAATTATAACTAGAGTGGATATTTAATTTTTTCTCAAGGTTTCTTTTTATCCATCCATCCTACTTCCATAACTTACAGGTACAGGGTCGTGATCTATTCCACGTGGCCCAGGGCACAAGGCAGGATGGGATGTCATGTAATTTTTTTTTATCTGAAGAAAGGAATGCTTTGGGTGTGTTTTGAGCACCCATTTAATTCTTGTACATTCTCATCTGAGACCTCAAAGTTGATAATTATATGCAATCCATGCATCTATCCATCTGCTTATCCTTACCTGGGTTGTGTGCATTGTGTAAAATTGCACATTCATTTTTATTGACATTAAAATGTTTACATGTATTTTTGTATATTTAATGTTAGACTCACCTCTGGATCTTAGCTGTGAAGGTCACGGTGTGTGGTCTTCTCCCTGAGAGTCTTGCTGCCTGCAATACGCAGCCTGTTTTGCAGAATGGATAGATATTTGCGATGTGGTGAGTCCCATCACACCGAGATCAGTCACTTATGCAATGGGCCTGAGACTCTGCTATTGGACAGACTGCCTTTAGGTATCCAGGTAACAAGTATTGGGTGTGATGTCATCTCTCACTGCAAATGAATTGATCTGAGACATGTCATACTTTAAAAGGACTGAAAGGGGACAAATTAATTAAGGGCACCAGAAAGCATGCATGTAGTATAAGTGTATTCTCAGTGAAACTTAAAAATATGAATTTATAGATGATGATAATTTCAACATTGATGGGAAAACATCTGTAGAGGTTAATGATGTGGTTCTTAAGGACAGTATATAAAAACACATTTGCCTTTGTTTTGATTTATATTGGCACAAAGGACATTACAGCAACAAAAGCACCGAATTCATAAAGATATATCATTGTTGCATTAAAAAAATGAAAAGAATCAAAGAAAGGACAAACCTCTAATCCCAATATGACGACCTTAACCCCTAAACTATATATATATATATATATGAACATGACTTGAATATTGAATCCTGAAAACTCCCAACATCCTTACAGAACTCCAGGAATTAGTATTACTAGTCTCATGTGACTTGACAAACATAAGCCTGTTGTTGTTGCTGCCCTCAGAAGGATTGATGCTAATTAATAGGAGGAAGTTTTTAACAAAACACCACTGTGTGAGCCTGTGTGTGATGATTTCCCTCTAGTGCAATTTCTACCTAGTGCTGATTGGAAAGCTGAAGTTGCTGATCTGGTCTGTCCTTAATTGGTCACATGACTTAAATCGCCCTTGATTCCCTCTTGGCTGTCAGTGATAGTCACACTGGTTTTTTTTTTTTGTTTGTTTTTTAATTCTTGCAAGAAAAACCACAGTTCGTCAAACAGTTCGTTTCATCGGAATTGAAACCGAATGCTGTATTGAATTGAACGACATCCAAATTGCTTTCTAGATGAAAAAATACAGGAATACATACATAAATACATAAACCGAAACGCCATGAAAAAACAACAACACCCTATTCAGTAAAGCTGTCCAAGTCTAATACGCAGCTACAACATCATGCCGTGTTATTTTATAACCTCATTAGTGATCACATATCATCTGCATTATAAGATTTTAATTTTTGACAGTTAATTCGTGTTTATTAACACTTGAATCATTTGCCTTCGTTTGCTTTTAATAAACCACATTCTACTGTAAGGAGAAAACAGGCTTTCTTCGCTACATTCTAGACTGCAATCTGATCTCAGGCCAGTTATCTTGATCACCGATGCCAGCAGGACTCGGAGTGCGCTCTCCGCCTACTCGCCGTACCGTCGCGTGATCAGGATTACATTCTTAAGGTGGTTACTATCCGCGCGCAGGTGCTCTGTCATTTCCTGGATCGCTCAGAGAGGCTCTGCAAATTTTGCCCTTCTAGAATAAAAATGAAATTTCTGTCTCTGTGCTTAGTTGCTTATTTCGCCTGGACTTCAGATGGACTTGTTCGGTAAGAGACTAATAATAAAAAGTAGACCACGCCGCCTGCTTTTACAGTATATGTGTGACATATACACTCATCTTTATAAGTGTTTTAAAATTTGTTTACGAGTAACTGCTCTAAATTTTATTATTTATCATAATTTCTTTTTTATTCTTCGAAATTATACGCAATTTGCAATTAATAAATATAATTATATGACTTTCTATTTCAATAAAGAGAGAAAGTAGAGAAAAAATGAAAACAGATGTGTTTCTTTTTGGAAAACTTACATTAACATGGCAAATTATAGCAGGTGTTTTGGTTGTTATATATAATATATAATAAATATAATATTTGAATATGTGCTGCTTGTGTCAGTGATGTATGGAAGTGGACGTGGTCACCTACAGCCTTATGATTGCCTTGGCTCTGTATCTCTCTGGTCTGAATGCTCTCCCCAAGTCAGTGTTTCCTCTGAGTACTCTGGCTCCCTTTCAATCCAATGGCGTGCAGTTAGGCTCATCTGTGTCCCTAAATTGCTCATATTGTGTGTGTATGTGCCCAGCTATGGAGCAGAATCCCATCTAGGATGCAACCCTTACCTTAGTAGTGACTGATTCTGCAAACTGTGCCCATAAATGCCCTGTAGGAAATGCAGTGTCTGCACTATACGAGTTATCTATTTGGCACTGTCCAGGATTCCTCTGAGAAAGTTCCGGACCATCCGGCGTACCTTGTCCGATTCAGGGAAGAGTGCAGATGAGCTTCTGGCTGGAAATGGGGCCATGAAATACAACTTGGGATTCCCCTCCAGCATCAAGCCCACTCCTGAAACCCTGAAAAACTACCTTGACGTGAGTATTCACTGCTATGCGACCATTATCCCTTTCAGTACGTATGAAGACCAATTAACAGACATTCTGTTGGTGTAACTCAACTAGTCCAGCTTTCGGTTATATCTCAGCATTCAAATCAAGCTAAAGATTCTCCTTTCCATGTGACTCACATGAGCGAAAGGATGCAGGTGATAAGCTTGTTCCCAGTGAAAATCGTCTTGTAAACATGAATTCCATGACCAGCTGATCTGTAAGCTACTTTACATGAAACATTGATTTCAAGATTTTAGATTCCATCCGGTCAGAGATTAAGCTTGAAGAAACAAGGAATTTGGTGTTCCTCTCTCATATTAGCCATTTTTCAAACTTATGTTTACAATAGCTGTGGCTAGTCTCCTATCATTATGAGGTAAAACCGGAATGTGGAAGTTGATCAGACCAGCTTGAAGCTGGTTTATGCGGGCCACAGTCAGCGGTGACATCATCACATGGCAGGCCGCTTGCACAGGCATGCTCTCTATGTTTCTTTGTTTCCTGCACCTCTTGGCTCATGCTCTGGAAACTTTTGTCCCCTCAGGCTGAGTACTATGGTGAGATTGGCCTTGGCACTCCTGCACAAACCTTCACTGTGGTTTTTGACACAGGCTCAGCAAATTTATGGGTTCCGTCTGTGCACTGCTCGCTGTTCGACATCGCCTGTTGTGAGTCTGCGTTTTCACCTCTCTATGTAGAACTACATGACATTTGCATGTGTCATATTCCTCATTTTCTTGAATATTATGCTAATTTAAGTATAAGAATAACTGAATGAATGAATCAATCAATCAATCCGTGGTTGTGGATCCCTGTTTCAGAGGATGAGTCTGAGTTTCATCATAGGAATAAGGTTTTCTGAAGCTGGCTTGTTCCAGATTTGGTTCATTCGCTAATATGAATAACAGACTGCTCCAAAATTCCAGATATGTCTATGGCAAGAATATCTTCATGCTTTTCTGTGTTGCAGATTTCCACCACAAATATGATTCTGCCAAGTCAAGCACATATGTGAAGAATGGAACTGATTTTGCTATCCGTTATGGTTCTGGTAGCCTGTCTGGCTATCTTAGCCAAGACACATGCCAGGTATCTTATATTTTACGGTGGTACAATGAATCGGTGCATCCAAAATCACAAACTTGTTTGCTATGTTGTAGATGAAACACAGTATGCAGCATGAGTAGTATGTCCTAATCTTCAGTATGGATGAGACAGTAGGCGACAGGTACCCAGATGACATACATACTATATTACGCAAAATTCCTAAGTGTGCAACCAATGGATGCTACACTGTCCGACGAAGCCATTGTAGCTGCAACCAGAAAAGAACGAGGCTTGCTTGGTGGGCACTTACAAAAGGCAGATGTGGGCATTAGCAAGCACTAATGACACAGGAGCACAGGTGAAGGCAAGCAACACACAAAGGATTGAACATCAAGAGAGACTAAAATATCAAAGTTAACAGACTGATACTACATGTATGGAATAACAGGGAGCAATGACAAGGAACTGCAACAGAAATACACAAATACATGATAAACTAAGAAAATACAAAGAAACATAAAAAAACTAATAAATCAATCAATTATAATTAAGTATAAATTCTAACCCACAATGGATGGGGAAGCCTGGATGACATAACCACCTGCTCAGTCCATTAAGCCATTCGGCAGCAGTCAGAACAGGAGGAACATAAGGAGCTTACACCAAATGGGATAGCCAGCGACACCTGCTGGCCAAACAGGGAAACTGATGTAAAGAATGGGGCAGGGTAGGGGCCGATCCTGACAGTACCTACGGTGTATTTATGTGATTTCAGACGCACCCGATAGGTGCCAACTAACTTTACATACCATTAAAGGCAATCTCGGCATCTGTGAGAATCTTAGTTCATAACTGAAGATTACTGAATTCCTGATCCACTTTGAGTGTCTGGGGTAAATGGCTTTTTTCATTTGAACTTCCCAGCAAACATATTGGATTTTAGGATACCCTCTGGCTTTCATCCTCCTCAGATTGGAGACATAATAGTAGAGCAGCAGGTGTTCGGAGAGGCCATCAAGCAGCCCGGCATGGTCTTCATCGCAGCAAAATTTGACGGCATCTTGGGCATGGCCTACCCCAGCATCTCTGTGGATATGGTTCCCCCCGTTTTTGACAATATTATGCATCAAAAAAAGGTGGAGAAGAATGTCTTCTCCTTCTACCTTAACAGGCAAGGCATCCAGTCATTTGTGGATAGTGTCTTATGTTAGTATCTAAGAAATTTTTTGTTGTGCTCTGTAACAAACGGTTGCTAATGCTTTAATGGTTTTTGAAATAAGCTGAATGCCACTTACAACAGGAACCCTGGCACCGAGCCTGGTGGGGAACTGCTGTTAGGAGGGAGCGATCCCAAGTACTACAGCGGAGACTTTCACTACGTTAACATCAGTCGGCAGGGCTACTGGCAGGTCCACATGGATGGGTGAGGGCTCACCCTAACTCTAAGCCTAGTCCTAACCCTAACCCTAACTCTAAGCCTAGTCCTAACCCTAACTCTAAGCCTAGTCCTAACCCTAACCCTAACTCTAAGCCTAGTCCTAACCCTAACCCTAACTCTAAGCCTAGTCCTAACCCTAACCCTAACTCTAAGCCTAGTCCTAACCCTAACCCTAACTCTAAGCCTAGTCCTAACCCTAACCCTGTGACAGTTCCTGAGCTTTATCAAAGATGCAGATATATGATCAGATGACATGTTCTATAACTGTTGTGTGAAATAATATGGCTGCAGATGGTCTGCGAACCAGAATAGTTCAACAATATGTTGCTGTGTTTTATGCCAACTCTCTGCAATGGTTTGATAGATTGAGCATTGGGGATCAGCTTAAACTGTGCAAGTCTGGCTGTGAGGCCATTGTGGATACAGGTACTTCCCTAATCACCGGACCTTCTGCTGAAATCCAGGCCCTGCAGAAAGCCATCGGCGCCACCCCCCTGATACAAGGAGAGGTACACCACTTGTTTTCAACAACAGTAAATTGATTCAGTTGCTGTTCTCTTACTGATTTCTCTTATGGCTTTCAGTACCGAGTTGACTGTAACAAAGTGTCCGCTCTCCCAAATGTCTCCTTCATCCTGGGTGGAAGATCATACACTCTAACGGGCGAGCAGTACGTCCTAAAGGCCAGTATTCTCATTACATGTTTACCTTCTAAATCGATGTAAATCCATCTAAATTGATTTAATTCTTGTAGTGTGAACTTCACAATAAAAAAATCCTAAACTGAATATCCACTAGAGGGAGACAGAATTTTGTATTAGGTCAGACATTGATAGAGCTTCTTTGCCAGAGGATATCATTTATGCACCTACCAATATGTCACCTGTTAAGGTTAGATAATGACTTATGTCGTCAGGAAAATTTTTATTCTCACTGCTAAATTAAATTAGGCATTTATTGATACTGCACAACACTGAGAAGGAAAAGTAAAGTGGCAGGAACATGTGCGTATTTCCATCCATCCATCCATCCATCCATTCATCTTATAACCACATATCCTGGTTAGGCTCACGGTAGGCCTCCAGCCTACAGCTGGCAGTACTGAGCACAAGCGTGTTGTGAACCCTAGACAGGGACAGTGTTTTTACTTTTGTTCTTTGTTTCTGTACTCACTATATTACCTGACACAGAAGAAACACTAAATTGTCACTCTTTATTACTTTGATGTATTTCCCTGTGCAGGAGAGCCAAGCTGGTGTGACCATCTGTTTAAGTGGGTTTATGGGGCTGGACATCCCTGCACCATCTATGCCCCTTTGGATTCTGGGAGATGTGTTCATTGGCCAGTATTACACTGAGTTTGACCGTGAGAAAAACCGGGTGGGCTTTGCTAAGTCTGTGTGAGTGAATTACCGAGGCTGGCAGATGGTTTAAACCTTTCAAAAGAAAGTTTCCTTGAAACTATGGAAAAAAAGCATGATGAATTTGTGTGGCATTGGTTCTTTTAAAAGTGTGCAATTCATTCATGAGGACTTTACATTGCAGTGCATTTGAAATGTAAACTGTAATCAAAATAGCAGAATTAATAATAAGTTGAAAACTATTTTAAGGAACTTATTTTCATAACTAATTTTCAGAGATTGTCTTCAGGTGAACTATATTTATAATGACTAAAAAAATTAAACATCTTATTTTTTTTTAGAAAATTGTGCTTGTCTTTCACTGTCAAGAATTGATTGGATTTAATAAAGCTTTCAGTGTGTTCATACACTGTGTTTTTTCCTGTGTGATTTAACATTTTGTTTCATTTCATTGCTATATGTCTGCAGTGGTCGACTAATTAAATTAAATTTAACTCACTAGTAGAATGGTAGTAGAATGTATGTACTAGTATAATGCATGGTGAAGTAGTCTCATTTTCTTCACTGGAAGGACACCCATCAAAGATACTTGCTCTCCATCACAAGGTCACTTCATCAGATTTCTCACTTGGAAGGGAACTACTGAGGGCACTTCATGAGATTTCTCACTTGGAAGGGAACTACTGAGGGCACTTCATGAGATTTTTCCACCAGAAAGGCACCCACCTTATTTGGTACTACATCACATTTTCTCTCAGTTCAATTCAATTCAATTTCACAACATTTCATTGTCTCAAAGTGCTTTACATTATCCCTGCCCAAAGCCCCCAGTGAGCAAGCCAGACGTGACAGTACTGCATTGTAGGGGCATCCATTAGGACAATTCCCCACATACACACACATGGACAGACATTGGATACAGCCCTGCATTGCATTCTATCTATAGTAGAGACACATATTTGGGCACTTCTTCATGTTTTCCTACTTAGGAGTACCCTTTACTGCATTGCATTACATGTTCTCTTTTGGAAAGGGCATCCTTTGAGACATTTAATTATGTAGGGGTGGCATAGAGGGCATATCATAAGGACAACCTTTTCAATTGTGAGGGTACCCATATTCACTGCACTGTAAGAGAACTTTTTGTAAGGGCACTGCATCACAGTATTTATATGTATGATATGATATGCATCACACAAATCTCCATCAACTGCAAGATGCTATCCTATCAATATGGGCCAACATTTCTAAAGAATGCTTTCAGCACCTTGTTGAATCAATGCCACGTAGAATTAAGGCAGTTCTGAAGGCGAAAGGGGGTCAAACACTGTATTAGTATGGTGTTCCTAATAATCCTTTAGGTGAGTGTACACCTGCACACCCCTAAATGCATTGAAGCAACTGCCATGTGATTGGTTGATTAGATAATTGCATTAATGAGAAATTGAACAGGCGTTCCTAATAATCCTTTAGGTGAGTGTATGTATGGGTTTTTTACACAATTTATTAAAATTATATTTCATTTTGTAGTCAAATCGATTTGTTGCCATTTTCGTGTTCTGAATATCATTAATGTAAATTAGGAACAACAGTGATCCTAAAATTGAACCCTGCGGTACCCCACTATGAACGCAGGCCCACTGTGACATTGTCCCTCTAATAACTACACGCTGCTTCCTGTTTGTTAACCAGTTTTCGATCGAAGCTGCTACAGTTCCTAAAATCCCTGCAGCTTTGAGCTTAAGCAAGAGCCGTTTGTGGGGGACAACATCAAAGGCCTTCAAATCTAAGTTGATGACATCGTAGGCCATTTTGTGATCAAAAAAGAAAATACTTGCATGCATCTAAACTTTTATAAGCATTTTTATTTTTATAAACTTTTATCATTTACAACAATTACCAGTACTACAGCATTCAGTAGAGTTTAAATTTGAATAAACTTTATTGAAACCATCAAGACTAATATACTATGAAGCCAGTAAAGAAAGCACAACCAGAGCTCGTACAGAGCGGAACTCTCGAATCAGTGTTCATACCATTGATCGAGAATTCACAATGAAAATGTGAAGTTGAGAATCTGCACTGTGTTGTGATGAACGATGTCAGCTGATTAAACCATAGCAACATGATGGCAAAATTACACATTCTTCAATAGCTTATTTACAAACATATTTCGAAAAACCAATTGCTAGGATCTTTATACTAATTGCTATTAATGCCCCTAAATATTTTGAAAGGCTATATTATAATTCTAAAGTTAATTAACAGAATCACACAGTGTAGATAAAGTAAAATAATGTAAAATAATCAAACTGACTATCCACTCCATTCTTTTTAGGGTCTTTACATGGAAGTCTCTGATCCCACAGCATCCTCAGTTGTTTCTTTCCTTCTGGGCTCACTGAACATCGCCATGGTTACAAGTCAGCCGGCAACTGGTATCCAGCGGGGCAGGTGTACTGGCTTAAAAGCTCCTTCACTCTGTCTGTGTCCCCTCCCATGCCGCTGTGGGGAGAGAATCAGTACAGACGGTCAGGGAAACATATGATTGCTTCTGCTGATTTATACACAGAATCATCCGTCTAACTATTATTAATCCCTTTTCCACACGTATATAATGTCATTTCAGCACGTCATACTGTTCAGAGGGGCCACAGTTAACTGGATGGCAGTTTACTGTCCTGTACTACAGCATTTAGTGGAGCTTTCATTTGTGCTTGACATATATTTTATTTCTTAGTTGACAATAATTATTTCTAAATTTTTAAATAAATATTGATGTTATTTAAATAAATGTAAATATTTGAGGTATTTGTTTAGTCTTCAATTTATAGTTTTTGAACTCAGATATATGGTTTACAGTTGAACTTGTGTTTTCTGGACTTGGACTCGGGTACCAAGGTCTGGTCATGGAATCAGTCTCTTCTCTCCCCCTTGTTAGAAATGATCTTCACTCAGATTCAATTTGTTAAAGATATGGTCTTGACATGGACTTGTCTAAAGTGGACTGGAACACAACATGGCTACCCAGTACTGGTAATATACCTAAGGGTACCTTGGTTCCTGAGATCTCTGGTAAGGAATTCAGTCTCATCTCGGACGGAAGGTATTTCTTCGATAAGGGAGATCTACCTTTTTCTAACGCTCTGCATTCGGTGCAGGAAGGAACAGATGGTGCTGATCTTGGCTTTAGATTTCAGGTACTCCCCATATCTGTTGGAGAATTCAATGTCTCCCAGTTGCCTGGTCTGCAGTCCTGAGTGTCTAGATAGCCTAGAACAGCAAAAGCAGGGATCGTTATATAACATTTCAGACATTTTTGTCTTGGTCCCCCATAAAAAATATTTTACTTAATCTATTCAGAGATTAGTCCCATATGTTTGTTATTTTTGTACACATTTTTGTATACAAAAATGTGTATGTGTTTGTATACAAAAATGTGTATGTCGTCCCATATTTCTTCAATTCGAATGTACCAGCTGTAAGGATCAGTTTTAGAATCCCCTGATACAGGACATCATGGTATCTGCTTCAGTAAACATTCTGGAATATACTGTACTCTGCAGTCAAAGAAAAATATGTCTAAATGATCTTCATGTTGGTGTAAAACTATGATATTATGTCTGGCGAATTGTGTCAGCTTTGCCATTTCAAAACCTCTGCTAAAGTCACCCCAGTGTTTGTAAAAACCAGCCAATACACCAATATATGAATTGAATCAACCACTAGCACACCATGTTTGGCTAATCAATACCTCATTGACTAATTTTACTACGGTAATTAAATTAATCAATTATATGAGTTCCTGGTGAGATGTAATGGATAGAGACATCAACTGGGGTGCCCCTGAAGAGAGGTTTGGGCAGCAGTGTTCTTTTAGCCATCCAATATGATATCAGTAACTTTTTGGAGAACAGAAAGAAAGTTGTGTTACTGTCCATTTAAATATATTGCAATGTTAAATTGTGCTTATTTTTTCTGAACTTACAACCCAGTTAGATAGCTTTAATTTCAGTTTTCTTTGACTCCCTACTTAGAATATACAGTAGTGCATATTGAAAAACATCATGCATTGTAGCATCTTAAATAAGAGAAACAAACTCATAATCAATGGTGTGTTTGTACCTTGCAGTGTCCTCCAGAAGGGCATCCACATCGTCCCCCACAAGAGGAGAGTTGAGCTGGTCAGCAAAGCTTCTGGCGATCCCCCTTACATCCTCCTCACTGAGGTGGGGATATTGCAGATGTAGGTAACCGGTAGCGATAAGTGGACTTACAAGGAGAGGGCAGCAGAACAAGGATTTATGGATTCTAAGCAAGTGCTTATTAAGATAAAGACCAGAAGGACAAAGAGGAACATGTTCAATAATAGGACGCCAGGTGAAAAGAAATGGAGTAAAGCCATATGAGAAATAACACCAAGCTCCATTTATTTGGTAACAACCATCCAGATGAATAGTAGCTATTCACTGGAAAAGAGAGCAAAAGAAAGGTTGAAAGATAAGGAAAAGAAACAGCAATGATAAGGATTTTATAGGGTTTTTTTTCCTGTAAGAGAAAAAATAATAACTACAGAATGACTCAGAGGAATAAAGGAAAAAGTGAATGCTTCATTGTCGATTCTGGATAAATGGGTTGGCATAATGGTTTAGTGGGTGGAATTGCTGCTTTATGTGCCCAGGGAGACCCCACTCTGTCTATGTGTTGATTTAAAGAAAATAACATGCAGCGAAGTTAACTGATGTGTCTCAGTTTCCTATAGTGTGTTCTTATGTGCGTGTGTGTGTGTGTGGGTGTGTGTGTAAGTAAATGTGTATGTAAATGTGTGTGTGTGTAAGTGTGTGTGTGTGCCCTTGCAGCTTTAGATAGGCTCCCATGAGTCTGTATTGGGAAAGCAGTTCTAAGATGGACTGGTGGATATAGGATCAATATTTGAAAACTGGATTGTTAAAGCATGAAATAATAATTCATCAGTAATAATGAAATATTCAGAAGAAAACATATAAGGTATACAAGACCAGATATAGATTTTCGAAGAATAAAGTTAACTGGGTCTTCCCTAGGGTAAAAAGAGGACAGAGAGAGAGAACGTTTGAAATAGCCAAATCAGAGCAACCACGCAGTGAACAAACCTAAATCAATCAGGTAGAGTTTTTTATAGTCACACCATATCTACTGCATATGTAAGTATTTTTAATGCAGGAGATACACCCACCTCTCCAGGACAGGAAGTGCGGTTGAGTAGTGAACAAAAATAGTTGTGAAGAGCAGCAAGTGGCCTAGATTAATGAGCTGGACCATGGTGAAGGCCTGGAAGAGAAAATGTCTTAGCGCTGAAAGGTTATAGCACCAGACAGGAAAACATGGCGTACCTTTCAG